CAACAAAGGTCCATCTAGTCAAGGCTATGGTTTTCCCAGTGGTCATGTATGGATGTGAGAGTTGGACTATAAAGAAAGCTGAGCACTGAAGAATTGATGCTTTTGAACTGTGGTGTTGAAGAAGACACTTGAGAGTCCCTTGGACTGCAAGGAGATCCAACCAGTCCATCCTAAAGGAAATCAGTCCTGGGTGTTCATTGGAAGGACTGATGTTGAAGCTGAAACTCCAACAGTTTGGCCACCTCATGCGAAGAGCTGACTCACTGGAAAAGACCCTGATGTTGGGAAAGATTGAAGGCGGGAGCAGAAGGGGACAACAGAGGATGAGATGGTTGGATGGCATCACTGACTCAATGGACATGAATTTGAGTAAGTCTTGGGAGCTGGTGATGGACAGCAAAGCCTGGCATATTGCCTTTCATGGGATCGCAAAGAGTTGGACATGATTGAGTGATTCAACTGACTGACTGGTAGAAATGTTCCTTAATAATACCTTCAAATTTTTGGGTGCTAAATGTGGACCTTGGTGGTGTGGTTTAGTTGCTATTTTTTTTCTGACTCTTGTGACCCCATGCACTATAGCTCACCAGCCTTCTCTGTCTATGGGACTTCCCAGGGGAGAATACTGGAGTGGGTTACCTTTACCATCACAAGGGGATCTTCCTGACCCAGCTGTCAAACCCAGGCCTCCTGCCTTACACTGTGCTAAACATATATTTAATCAATACAGTAACAGTCTGAGGTAGGAACTATAAATGTGTCATTTTACATATGAAGATACTGAGGTTTGGTAAAATTGCTCCAGGCTCCCTGACTGAGTGAGCCCTTGAGTAAGATTAGGCATCTAAACAATTTATCAACAATTATGTAACTATGGTGCTGCCAGGAACACTGTATTGAGAGGACTGACAGGCTTCCCTGTAGGCTGAGGAGAAATGCATTTTGTGATTGCTTAGCTATTTCAGCCATTAAGTTGCGTATCATCACACCTGCTTGTTAGCCAACACTCATCCAATTATTTGGAGACAAAGATACAGAAGCAAATTGATATGGTCATATAGCTCCAAAGCCAGCTCTATAAACATAGTCCTACTAATGGCCATCTGCCTTTATCTCCCCTCCCACTGAAAGTAAAGTCAAGTTATATAAGCATTTCTCCTATGCTTTTCTTTTAAATGAGAAATAATCACTTTAGCACCTATAATCAAGACAACTTTCAGACCACCAAGTTACTCTCATTGCCTCTGTGAAAGGGGATTCAATACTCAAAATGAGAGCTCCAAGAAAGTGGCATTTGTTATGAAGTGGAAGATATGAAATTAATCATTTTCAGGAAACTTGCAAGGCAATATATTTCTTATGTATATAATAATCCACATTACAGGTACTGTACACACACTTCAATGGACCATTTATTTCCTGATTGTTTGTTATATGGTACTATATTAGCATAGTGTAGAAGATTTGAGGTAGAAAAGTGAGGTACTTTTTATGTCTACTCTAAGCTGTTAGTTTTACTGCGTCTCAAGATGTAGAGGATCGTCTTGTAGTCAAATCGAGCTATAAAGACTAAATTGAACTATCCCCATGGAACAGCTGTTAAATCTCCAGGGAGTGGGCAGGTCCCACAAGTAAGGAATGACGGATTGCAATGGGGATGCTGCAGAAATGCAACCTGGCAGAGAGGGGTCTGTGCCGGATGTGGCTGTGCTTCTTGAATTACCTTTGGTAACTGATGGGTATCACCTTAAATTTGTGACCTGATTTGTTGATTCCCTGAGTCTCCTGCTCACCTCCGAACTTTGCCAAACTCAGTAACTGTGAGAGTCTGAACACTGGCAAAGGACAGAAACGTCATCCTTCTCAGAAGCCCTTACTTAGCACAGCTGTGGCTTAGTGACTTGGAACAAAGCTGATTTTGTAGTTGATACCATGTCTTTGGGGTAAACTAAGCCTGAGTAGGGGAAGAAAACTGTTTGTACATGTAATTAATGGTGCAAACAATGCCTTTCCATGTGGGATTCCTAAAGAAAAAAGACAAAGTATATAACTGTGCGTGTGTGTCTGTGTATCTCTGTGTGTGTGTGTGTGTAGTAATAGGAAATTTCACCTAAGCAAGGTGATAGAAGCAATTTTGGAGAAAAATACTGTGTTTATCCCACCCTTTAAATTGAGAAGTTTAACACTAATGATTCTCTATCTGCAAAGAACCAAAAATTATTTTTTTGAACTTTCCCCCTCAAGTGCATTAATGATAAAATAGATCCTTTATGATTCATATTAATAATACTGCCAATTAAACTCAGAAATAAAGTATGGTAGTGAAATTTTTGGTAGCTTGGTAAGGGCTACAATAGTTTAAAATCAGCAAAACATTTATTAAAATTGAAGCTAATGATCCTCTCCAAAAAGGAAATGATGAAAGCTATCACTAAATTCATGGGAGTTTTCTCCTTATTCTCCCTGACTTCCCTTTTCCTGCTCTGTATATCCAATGACTTAGTTTAATATATCTTATCATTTAATATATTTTCTAACATAATTTATGTCTGGAGTTTTCTATGAATGTTGCCACAGTGTAATAGGGAAGACAAATCTGACTCCATATTGGATCTGTTTCTTTTACTTTAACATTTATATTCTGTTGTTTCACTACAAGTTAAGAATGTTGTCCATAGCCTGAAATATACAGGAGTGCCCGATCTCAAAGCTCTGCTCATTAAAGATATAACACGTTTTCATTCATATAGATAAAACTTGCCCAACAGAGAGTAACATCTGTCTCATTGGAGGTTTAAGGACCACCGTGATCTGACCTATGTGGACAACTGCAATGACACAGGATTTTTACACCAGCAAGTGTGCAACAGGCTCGCTCCCTCCTATCGTCGCATTCAAAAGTCTAAATTTTAGCTTGGAGGGGATGGTTCTTTGGGACTCCTAGGTCTGCTGGCTTTTTGAAGAAAGTCGCTGTTCCTTGCCTCAAGACCTCATCTCTCCATTTATTGGCCTACTGTGGGGCAAACAGCGCAAGTGTGGACTTGATAACAACAGGAATTGGGTTTATTTATATCTAAGGCTCGCCCACTGCAGTGTTCTTGCCTGGAGAACCCCAGGGACGGCGGAGCCTGGTGGGCTGCCGTCTATGGGGTCGCGCAGAGCCGGACACGGCTGAAGCGACTTAGCAGCAGCAGCATATCTAAGGCTCAGGTTCTCACACTTTTGAAGCCAGTTTGTGAACAACAAAAGTAGCAATGTTGCCTTAAGTTCCTTGTGTTTCAATGTGTCGTTCCAACCCTTCCCACATGACAGGTAGTTCTGTTCTCCTTTCAGGTGCGTTGACAGTCATGATATTAGTCTAAGCTAAACTAGCTCAGTTGGTAAAGAATCCACCTGCAATGCAGAAGACCCAGGTTCGACTCCTGGGTCAGGAAGATCCCCTGGAGAAGAGACAGGCTACCCACTCCAGTATTCCTGGGCTTCCCTTGTGGCTCAGCTGGTAAAGAATCCGCCTGCAATGCAGGAGACCTGGGTTTGATCCCTGGGTTGGGAAGATCCCCTGGAGAAGGGAAAGTCTACCCACTCCTGGAGAATTCCATGGCCTGGAGAATTGCATACAGTCCATGGGGGTCACAAAAAGTCAGACACAACTGAGCGTCTTTCACTTTCCAACTCCCTAGTGGTATGTGATCCCACTGTTTTTGCAGATTAAACTCAATGAAATGGGTATGTTATGAAATATTTTGGGGGAATAATATTGAGGAGCAATGGGCAGGAGTATGCTTTCCTGACCTATGCCTAAACAAAATGTCATCAGCAAGTTAGTGCTTAGGTTAATTAGTTAATGAATAACATTAGGACTTCCTAACTTTGTAGCTCAGCTGGTAAAGAATCTGCCTGCAATGCAGGAGACTGTGGTTCAATTCCTGGGTCAGGAAGACCTGCCGGAGAAGGGATAGGCTATCTACTCCAGTATTCATGGGCTCCCCTGGTGGCTCAGCTGGTAAAGAATCTGCCTGCAATGTGGATTAGTTAATTAGTTAATGAATAACCTTGGCACATATGGGTAACATTGTCAAAAGCCTGGAGCCTGAGCCAGGGACAAGCCTTTTAAAATATTATAGACTTTAACCAAACTGTGATTTTCCATAAGCAAGGCTGTTTCTCATGCTGGAATCCAATGGTAACTTAAAAAAAAAAAATGTGTTAATACATGGAAACTCCAAACATAAAATATTTTTTACACATTATATTTATCAAGAAAAAAAAAAAAACATAAAGATCATTTAAATTCCAATTTTTCCAGGTAGTCCAGTGATCAGATTGCAAGGAGGGGCAGCATCTACTAGTCAATGATAAGGGGGTCTAGTCTTGTGAAAGCTTTTACAATACTGTTAGTTTAATGGACCTCTGCTTCTAGCAGGATGGAGTGGTGTGCTTTGCTCTATTTCTCCCACCAAGTACAACTAAAAACTAACATTACATATAAATAAAACCAAAGAAAGTTCTAAATGGTGGAAAGAAGAAAGCAAGCATGTATTGGGATCTTGAGACCCAAGGAGCAACATCAAAAATTTAACCTCTGTCCTTCAAAATGCCCAAGTTTTTAACAACGGCAATAAGTAGACACATACATAATTCAGCAGCAATAGAATTTAGTAGAATCTGTGGTGTTTTGGCTGCATTTCTCAGGGATAATAAAGAGATTCATTCAACCCAGTATAGATTGCAAGCCCCACCCACAGATGGCACAAACTCAGAGCCAGGAACATGGAATTCAGTAGGCACCTCTAAAACACTTGTTTCCCCCAACTACACAGTGCATACCCACTCAGCCCCTACTGCGCCGCCCTCTCTCCGATTTCCCCTGGGCGTCTAGTTAGACATCCAAGAGTGTGGCGTAAGTGTATTATGAGGAAGTGCCAGGTGTGCGATGGGAAGGCAAGTCCCAACCACACTGAAGTGTTGAAATCATCAGGCTGGAAGGGATGCTGACTTACCACAGTATAGATCTGGTGTTTTCGCCTTTTAGCCAGGTCAATTATGTTTACTCCATTGTAGTACAGGTTTTCAATACATCCATGGAAGTTTTTCTTCAAAAAGGTCCCAGGTTTGCCTGGCACTGGAATTCCTCCAAAACTAAGCTTTATGAAAAAAAAAAAAAATCAACTTTTAGTTATAAGCTCTAGAAAAGGAGTAAAGGAAAAGGAAAGTAAGCAAGTGAATTTCAGCAGATTCAATTGTAGCATGAGCCAAGTGGCTCAAATAATTATAGATGCCACTTGATTACACATTTAAAAGGATACTGATTAGGCCACATAAAAATAACCATAATTGCTAGCTTTTTAAGAGCTTATTTTACACAACTATTTTACATCCTTTCTGAACCCTTCTAATACTAAATACAACAATAATTTACAGTAGGAGGAAAAAAGCAAGGAAAATCAACATCTTTATATTTATCTTTATGCAAATATCTTAGAGAGTATAATTAAAGTAAAACCAAGGGACAAATAAAATATACCTCTATTCAGGCCTACTGTATTCTGTATTACATTAAAAACACCTTATCAACACAGATGTTACTGAAATATTTTATAAAGATGAAAAATAGGAAACAATTCAAATATCTCACACATTTATTTAGAAGGAAAAACTGAGAATTGATATAATAGACTCCTACTTAGTTGTCAATAATGCTGCTTAGAAAACATTTGTGGTAAAGTGGAAAATGAGTGGAATGTTGATTTAAAAGTGCAGGAGTTATAGTTGGGAGTAAGGTATGATGTCAATAATAAAAAATGGGCTTACAATTTAGATTTGAGGAAATAACACTGAGCTATTAATGGTAGCTGTCTCTGGGAAAGCGATGGAATACTAGTTATCTTTACTACTTTCTTTTCCAGTAAAAATTACTACAAATCACTTTTGGAAAGAAAATATTCTTTTTAAAGCAAACCTGATCTGTTATGAATATTCTTCCTATTTTAAAACAGAAGCAGAGTAGTTTCTATCATCAGGCTTATCCCAATACCATTTAGTGAGGAACCCAGTTTCTCTTCACTGCTTTGAAATGTTACCTTTGGCATATAATACTTAAATCGTATGAATGCTTGAGTATATTTCAGAAATATTTGTTCTCCCAGTGGAAATGTCTTCTCATATGAATAGCTACAGATAAAGCAAAGGTTGTTTACAGATGTCTATTTTTTTCCCCCATAAATTCCACACTATTTTAAAAAATTATTTCTTTATAGATTTATGGTAAGAATGATTAACCCTGCTGCTCATGTCTATTTTATATTGTTTTACTCTAAGATAATTATTTTATATTTTGCCTTTTTTAATTTTAAAATTTAATTTCAGAATAATTTTATTTAAAATAGTTTATTGGAAGTTTGAGAATTAACATGGAATTTGTTATTTCCATGAACACATTTACCTAAAGAAGAATATTGTTTTTAAAATATTTCATCTTCAAAAAATAAAAATAAAATATTTCATCTTCTTATACAAGAATTCAGTGTCTTTTTCTATTTTCAAAATATTTTTGTTAAGGCCTCTCACCTAAGGTTATTACTTTACTTTTCTCATTCACATATTCATTATCAACTTAATTCCAATGAATTTCAAGCTTTTAACAATTTCCACTGTATGAAATCTAAAAAAACACATTATGCAAATATCAGATCATTATGCTATACAAAACCAGCATAACATTATATGTCATTTATATCTCAACAAATTCCAGTGTAAATTCCTTGTTTTTATTAATCAAAATTTTTATTAAGAAAATTACATGCCTCTCCTATTGTTTTCTCTATCCAGACACCTGTATATTAAATAAGATATTTTTTAGCTAATTTCATTGAACTTTTGAAGGTACTAATCACATGAAATACTTAAAATACTTTCTTCTTTTTACAAGCCAATTTTTATACATTTTTTGTTTCATTTTCCTCACCAGAACTTTCTAAAATATAGCCAAAACAACAATAAACAATAATTATAGTATAGAACATTAGGAAAAAATAAAAAGCAAACAAAAATAACAGTATTTTTGTATATTTCCCAGTATATACTGATTCTGATTCCATATCACATTAAAGAGATACCCCTAATCTCATTTCCACATAAATTATTTAGTTGCTTACTTATTTATTATTTGTTTGAAATGAGGAATGAGTGCTCAGTTTTATTCATTGATTGGTGTTTCAAAAATTCATGTGACAGAATACAGTGTATTTTGCATTTAATCTGTTGGTAGGTTGAATTATATTAATAGATCATAAATTGATAGATTCTCTTTGATTGAACCACATGTGTGTTCTATTTGCCTTGAAATACATGTGCTCCCACTTTAAACAGTAAATGAGATTGAGCTCTAGTTTTCTTTTGCAAAGTATTTAGATCAAATCTAAATTTGTCTTTCAGTAAAACTCTGGAAGTTTTATCTTTGGCTTTATTTTTAAAAATGACTCATAACTCTTGAGACATATTCTGGAAAACAAAAAAAAAATGAGTTTGTCAATTCTAAAAGTACTTTGTAAAAACATTGCTTTGATAATTTCCTTGTTGATTTATTGCAGTATTCCAATATATTCAATCTGAGTCATTTGCATTAAAAAGATTCCTTTCCCTTTTGTAAATTGCATAAATCAAATTTGTAAGGTAAAAACAGAGTTGACTATTTGTTACTTTTATTTATTTTTTAAAACACTTTATTATGTTAGAGCAGCTTTTGTTTCACAGCAGAATTGAGAGGAAGGTAGAGTTTTCCCAGATATTCTGTGCCCCCAAACATGCATAGTCTCCTCTAGCATTAACAAAAGCTTCCATCACTGGTTTGTTTCAATTGGTGGACCTACATTCACACATCACAATCACCCCAAGTCCATAGCATACATTATGTTTTACTTTTGGTATTGTACATTCTATGGGTTTGGACAAATGTATTATTACATGCATCCACCAGTACAGTATCATATAGAATAGTTTCACTGATGTAAAAATCCCCTTTTCGTTGCTAATTCATCCTTCCCCTAGCCGCTGATTCCAATCCCTGGCAACCATTGATCTTTTAACTGTTTCAATAGTTTTACCTTTTCAGAATGTCATATTGTTAGAATCATGTAGTAAGTAACCATTTCAGATTGGCTTCTTTCACTTAATAATATGAATTTAAGGTTTCACCATATCTTTATATGGCTTGAAAGTTCATTAATTTTTTTAGCATTGAATAATATTCCATTGTCTGTATGTTGCACAGTTTGTTAACACATTCACATGCAGAAAGACATCTTCATTGCTTCCAAGTTTTGACAGCTATGGATAAAGCTGCTGTAATCATTAATGCTGAGATTTTGTGTGGACATAAGTTATTATTCTTTTTATAATTTTAAATATATAATGAAAATTTTGTTTGTTTTTTGGGCCACCTTCAATTTGTGGGAAAAAAAACAATGTTCTACTTCACTTAGCTGTGATTTAAGAAAACATTAGGGCAATATTCAAAAAAGAGAAAGAACAATTTTTTTTTTTTAATTAAGTGGGAAAAAAGAAAAAGAAACATGTTTGAAGGATTTGGAGTAGAGAGTTTTTAAGTCAAACAGTAGGGGGGAGAGTATATATTACAAAATTGTAATTTCCCATTTCATCAAGGAGAGAAAACTCTTTCTAGTCTGGGTGAAAGATAACAGGAAACAATTAGTGGAGACAAAAGTGCCGCAGCTTACATATTGTGGGGCCTGTCTTTCTGCTTCTCTCTGGGAGACTGAAACCTGATGAGTGAATGTAGTGAATGTGGACGAAGGTCACAAGACCGATTTTGGAAAATGCAAGGAGTTATTTCTCCCCTGATTTCTACAACAGCGAGGCCTGTAAGCCTGTTAAAAACGTTTCACAGTATCATGGGCTCCGTGAAACTTCGCTGCAAGAGACAGAGGTTAGCAGCATCATATGAAGTAGCCGCACAGAGGTTTCCGAGGGCTGGTCCTCAACGGCCTGCTCCCTGGGGCGCGGGCGGAGGCAGCCTGATGGGGGGCCCCGGGCCATGAGAGCATCGCGGGGAACAAGGACGGGCCGAGGCCCTCAGAGAGTGTGTGAAGTCCTGGGAGCTGATTTGGAGGTCCAGATGTTCGGGCGACTGGACCTCACAGCCGGAGGCCCCCGCAGGTACGTGGAGCCATGACACCCATGCAAGGCTATCCACAAGCCCCGGTCGGTGATCAGCGCATAGAAACGGGAAGAAGGAGCGAGAAGAAACCTCACTATAACTCAGCGCATACAGAATAGTGCAGTAGTGTTAAATAGGCACGAACTAAACCTGCTCTTCCATGTGGCTCAGATGGTAAAGCGTCTGCCTACAATGCGGGAGACCTGGGTTCGATCCCCGGGCGGGGAAGATTTCCTAGAGAAGGAAATGGCAACCCACTCCAGTACTCTTGTCTGGAAAATGCTATGGACAGAGGAGCCTGGTAGGCTACCGTCCATGGGGTCACAAAGAGTCGGACACGACTGAGCAACTTCACTTTCACTTTCAACTAAATTTTAAATAGACACTAACATTGTAACCTATCATCTAACCTATCATCAAGGTTAGATTTTTCTGCTACAGAGGAATCAGGGACTGGTGAATATATTAAATTCATGTGGGGAAAGAAGCAAAACTGTATTTCTGCACATCTGAGTGTGAGTATAAATTTTGAACCTGTTTTATATTTTAAATTTTTCGAGTAGTTGAGAATTTGAGATTATACTATTGATTTACAGATTTAGTTCATTATCAGATAAGTTAGAATGGAAAAAACGTGCTTCATATATTACTGATTTTCTTTCCTATGTCTCTAGTAGTACATTTTTTCTAAATACATCATAAATATTTGTAAGCTATACTTGTTGTATACTTCTTAATTGTATATTACTAGTCATATCCCTTAAATCATTTGCATTTATAACTTTACCTTATTTATTAAAATTTCAAGAACAAAAATCAAAATCTTGCTTTAAACTATGTTTTTGTCCAAAAGTCACCTAGAGTAAGATCACTGCTGTGTATGACCTGGGATGGTCAAATGATTATAGCAATTATTTGCAAAAATTGAAAATTGATCACTTTTAAACTGTTCTGCTGCTTAGTTCAGCT